ACAACCAAACCTAATTCTAACTAATGCATACACCAAAATAACCAAAGGTTAAGGAATAAATTTTGCACTGTTCTTAGAAGGATGGGAAGAGTATTTATATGACGTAGGACTGCTCTCGCCTTTGTCACTCTAAATCAACCCAGAAGCACATTCATTGGAGAAGCAAATAGTAACTCATCATGATCACAGGCTTTAGTGTATTAAGGCTGCTCATACACACAAGATGATACAGATGTTTGCCTTTGTGTTATCACCAAGAATAAAATATGTCATGTCAAGTATGTAAGTAGTGATGATATCATAGAACCAGGAAAGCTTTGGGTTAGAAATGATGAAAGGATGAGTTTTCTTTAAAAAAAAAAACAACCAACCAAAAAACCAGGGTTAACATAAAATAATTGGATGGTAAAAGGCAGGCTTCACAACCTCGATCTCAAGTACCTTCAGAGAAAGCAGATAATGTAAATGTGGTGTGATTTATATCCTGGAGTGGCAAGAACTCATACTCAAAGCCTGAGAGTCCACACCCTGCCTGAATGCACTCAGGTTTTTCTAAAACATGCTTCTGGTCAAACAAAACACGTCTGTGACCTGGGCCACCAGTGTGCGCCCCTGGCAAATTTTGATTAACACTTGCGTTGGGTGACAGTAGATTCCATTCTTGGGGCAAGACATGATCTCAGGCTTCAAGGAGTTTATAGTCAAGGGGAAGAAGGCAAGATGGGTCAACACAATTTCTGTCTGTAGGATGACTTCTAGAGCCTGAAATGCCTCACTGGGACAGAAGTTATAATCTGGGAAGGTTATCTTTGAGCTCAGCATGAGGTGTGGAGGCTAAGGGAGTGACCCGGATCAGAAACCAAAACCCAAGTACTAGACAGACAGAGGAAACAAGTGCACAGCCAGGGATGGAGCCAAGAGATGCCTAATGTGCAGAACTGGTCTCTCAAATCCAAACAGTAAGCCGTAAGTCTCTTTATTTTTCCTTTCCTGCTTTATTGAGATATAATTGACATATAACATTGTGTAAGCTTATGGTGTATAGGGATAAGCCATCCGTCTTTAAAATTTTAGTAGAATTTAAATTTTTTAGAAATGAAACAAAATAAAGCTAATGCCTTGAGTGTTATATATCAAAATCAGGGTTAAGTTCAGGAAGGATAAAATGCAGACAATATGGACTGATAGGCTGATAATCATTCTTCCCATCTCCTCATTCAGAAATACAACACTCAAAAATAATTACATAAAATCAGGATTTATAACAAAGTCTTGAGTTAACGACCTACTTGTTTTAAATACTCTTTAATTTAAATAGGTGATATGATCTTGGAAATTATTAGGAATACTTCTGTTGCCTTCAATCTCTGATTTGATTACTGACAAGTGTAAAACATTATTTCATAGACTGTTGTTAAGACAGTCTACACGGGTCCAACTCCCCATATGACAAAATTAACAATTCAGAAAATTAAAACACATTTTCTTATAACACTACTCTTTTTTCCATTCATAGCATTGTATCTGAATTACCATTACCTTGCTAGAAAAAAAAAATAGATAGTTTCCTTTGGGATAGTGAAGGGACTAGAATACTAGGAGATACTATGAAAACCATATCCTAAAAAGAGGAGCTGGGAATGAATTACAAGTCTTAGACTTTATCCCTACACTCTTCACTGTGAGCTGTCTTCACTCAAGTGAAGGGAGATGGCATTTGTGAAGAATTGCCAAAGAAACTCAATATATAGGAATCAACATATCGACTCCTAAAAGGAGGTTAGAGTATCAACCCAATTTCTCACATCTACATTGTGGGACAGATGGAGAAACAAATTGACAACCAAAAGGTCACCGATTTTGATATTTCTAGGACAGAAATGCTTCCAGCTGGGAGTAAATCCACAAGTCACTGAGGAGTGGAGGGCTAATCCACTTTATTGCCTTCATCAAATATTTAGAAATGGTACAGTATTCATTGGATAAAACTGAGAGGATAAGTAGGGAATATTTCGGTTCTATGATTTAAATATGTACAAGCTAGACACTTTATTAAAACATCAGAATGATTTTTTCCTGAAAACAAGAACCTTATAGTGGGGTTTGAGAAATAGAGTCAATGGGACTGTGTATCCAAAAGTATTACCAGTTTTACATATGTCTTTATATGGTCACACTAAAATCCTACTTAAACCCATGTTACATAACGGAAGAGGCTGAGTGTCACAGGCCAGATGAAAATGCTTGGTCTGCTGGCCCAGTGACTGATTTTTTACATTAAGGATTTGACATTAAAGATTTACATTAAAGATTCAGTTGCTGGCCTGAAACAGAAAACTAGTGAGGCTTCTCACACAAATCTCTTCCTCCCCAAAAATTGCTGCAGAGACATGGACAAAAAAAAAAGTCCACTAGACTGTATGTGGTTATTTTTAGAATAATTAAGTGTAAGGCCTACAATCTGTGAAACTGATCACTAGAAAAAGAATTATCCTAGGATTCATTCCAAATACAATGACATCATGCAGTAAGAAAAACCTCCAAACAAAGAACTTCTTCATAATAATTTTAAAATTCTTCACAACTAGACAACGAAACCCAAATAATCCATCTACAATAAAACTTGGTTCAATAAGATACAGAAGGTTATGATACAAAACAACGGTCATCACAAATTAAGACAGCTTGCTCCCCAAGTACTACAGTTCTTTTTCAGAACACTGGATGCCCTTTTAAAATTTTATTGATAAGGGACAAAATAACCACACAAGACCAAGATGTTGAAAGGTAATCTATATCCCCCAAAAGAAACTACAGGGTATTGTGAGCAAGTTATATCACGTAAACTGCACTTACCTTTCTCCTCAGTACACATTATGGTACCCACCAGTGCTGGAATCCCCAAGCAATGGAAAAACAATCAGAATTATGTGCTTTGTTTTTATTACTTACGATGAAAAAAAAGAATAGGCTCATGTTGAAAGCACGAGAGATTTGAAATAATAATGCCTAAGTGAGAGTCAGAGCGGGGCCACCTTGGCTGTGCAACCAACCTGGGGCAAGTCACTTAATCTATAGACTTTTTCTATAGACTAAGGAATTTGAATAGACTATCTCCAAATGCTTTTCAGGATCTGACTTTTAGTACTGTTATGTGCAGCTATTCTTTTCCTCTGGGATTTCCTGGAAGGTTTTCTTGTCATAACACCTATTGGGAACACTATTGCTTTCTCCTTCAGGATCTATGAGAGCCTGAGGTACAGGAGTAATCAGTTTCCTTTGCTGGTGATTAGTTTGGAAATGGGCATATGACTCAAGTTGGGAACACTGAAATCAAGGGTTCTGGGAAAGTTCTTTTTTTTTTTCCTGAGAAAACTTCTGCTCCCTTTCTCTGGGCCTGATTGGGTGCATAATGTAAAATCTGAAATGTTATCACTATCTCTCTACCACTTCAGAGGTGAAACCAATGTTTTGAGAAAGGCTGAGCCAAAAGACTGCCAGGAAAACTGGATCCAGCACCACAAGGTTAAGTCAGCACTGAAGCTGACCCTACTCTGGACTTCCAGTTACATGAGCCAACACATTTCCTATTGCTTCAGCCAGGTGGAGTTTTCAGCTTCTTGCAGACGAATTTGAAATTTTCATCTCATTCTATTTGAAATAGTCATTCATGCTAATCTTTGCTCTGTACTCACTCAGCTTGCTATGAAGGAAGTAATAAGAGTGATTCACCCACAATGTGTCCACTTGGTCTAGAATCTCAGTAGTGGAAAGAACCTAAGCTATGAGGTTTCTATGTAGAGAAACTGCATTTCATTCATCTTTGTATCCCTAGTACTTAGGAAAGCCCTGGTAGGGAGTAGGCACTTAATAAATGTGTAATGAGTAAATAAGAAAAAATAATATTGGCAGCTAACATTTATTGAATGCTTACTACTTGCCAAAACACACTATAGGAATTATTCCTTTTAAATGTTCTCTATCCAATCAGATACCACCATGGTTATTCCCACTGATCAAATAAAGTGAGAAATTAGGTAACTGGCCTAGGAGCTCTCACAGGATTCCAGCCTAGACTTGCCTGATTTCAGAGCCAAAGTTCTCTATTTTTAATTTCAACTACCGTAGACATTTTCTAGTTCAGGGCTACTCAAAATGTGGTCCAGGGACCAGCTACAGGTTTGCCAACAGTTTGCACCATTTTGTTCAGCTGACATTTTTTTCATAGCAAGACTTTTCCAATGAAGGAAGCATACATTCCATCTGAAAAAAGGCCATTGTTCCTCAAGAAATGGGTTCCCAACCTTTCACCAACAGTGCAATGTTTAAACTAGTGGTATGCTAGTTCACTCATTCCCTGAAAGGAAACTCTCTTACTCTATGATGCTCACATATATAGACAGTTCATATAATAATGCAAAACATTTTTTATTGCTATTCCTGTCAAGTTACTATTCAGCCTATAAAGAACTCACTTAGCGTGTCCTCCTCTCTGTGGTGTTGCTTTGTCTTCAGTCCTCTCTCCACCTCCCCACACACCCCTCCCCTGTTCATTCCCAGGGTCGCAGCTCCAGCCTAGGTGAGCCTCGCCAGGTCCCCAAGGTTTAGAATGTTGCTTCTGGCTCCAGCCAAGACTTGTATAGGCAGGTCCTTACTGTGCTTTGAGGGAGGAGGCCTGAGGTCCTTTAGTTTCCTCAGAGTGGAGCATCACAGAACAAACAAACAAACAAAACACATTAAAACCATCCTTTTTTGCTAATATTTGCTACTTCTTATGGAGTAGCCTCCAGTATTATTCGGTTAATAAAGCACTATTCTTCTCCAAAGGAAGAAAAAGAAAGGGATATGAGGGAATAAAAACCCTACCCTAGCATACATACACCCTCCGATTGTGCTCATTTTTCCTTAACATGTTGAGGACCATGGAAAATGATGTTCTTCTTGAATGGCTTTTGGGACCCACTGGTCTTGGACAAGCACCCATCTGTCAGACACTAATGCAAAATTGATCTTGCATGCACTGCACGGACAGGGTACCGGGAGAGCATAAAAGCACCTTTTAAAAAAATTAAGAGAAGACGTTGCCTTCCTCACTCTTTAGGGTTTCTTACTTGGAGGTCAATTGTTATCTACAATTGTTAATTGTAGATCCATAAATGGAATGAAACATTTTGTATATTTGTGCAATTCTGGAGAGAGAGTCTGTGACTGCACACAGGGTGATGACACTTTCCTGACCTGTTTGCCCAGTGCAGAGAGAATGGTCAATGATGTGGTCAGCACTTTGTTCTCCTTCCACTTATGGTGATACGAAGGCATATATATTTAATGCCATTTTCATGAAAATGAGACAAGTTAATAAACAAACTGGTTAGTGTAACCGTGAAATTCTATGCCATGGCTTCAGACTGTGCTCTTGCCTTTTCCAACCATCTCACAAAGACAGAGAGTGCTGAGCGTGAGCTGCGGGACCTCATAGCAAACCTTTCACCCCCAATGGGAGGAAAAAGTAATATATGTCTTATTTTATGTGGGTCAGTAAAAGAAGGTGGCAGATTTAAATTTCATTTGAAGATGGCTAAATGAAGAGGGAATATAACTTAAAACAAAATAAATCTTGGGAGGTAATAAATGTCAGTTTGGAATTTAGCTCTTTCTGTCATAAGACAATTTGGAGTTCTGCACAAGATAAGTTGTTTTTACAAACCAAAAGAATCTCTTTTAACGTTTCAGTAACGATGGACACAATGTCACTTCTGTTGTTAGACTTCAATCTTTATTTTCTTGTCCTTTGGAAATTAAATCACTTGTGAAAATATAGTAGACCAGATCCTCATCCATATTTTGCAAACAAAAAAATTAGCTTGTTCTACATTCAACCATACTTGTCAAGAGAGAAGGTGGACAGTATATAACAAATCTTAATTGAATGAAAAAATTGCGTGTTATTTTCGTAGATGTGAGTTTAGATAATTATCATTTAAGGATTTTTATATTCATTTAGAAAGTCTTGTATCTTAATAGAGACTTTGCAAATAAATACATTGGATTAAACGTCAAACAACTTATATATTAAGCACTACAGAGTTAAAATCATCTGGCTTCTTTGCTGTGAGTCTTAGATAGCAAGAGATTTACTAGGTCACTCTGAATGCCTCTCAGTGGTCACCCCTGACATTTTCTGGCGTGCTTCTCAGAACACAGGGACCAAGGAACATCTGGCACCACATTTATGATTTATCATTACAAAAACCAAAGATGCTGAGAGTGCCCACATGAAAGAAGCACATTGCAAACAAATTTGGTTTCAATAATAATCACTGTTTGATTTGTGCTAACTTTTCAAAGAACTTACCTAGATGGATGATACGAAATCACATTTAAATAGAATTTGGTCATCTACAGAACCACTTTACATGCACTATTTCCTTTGTCTTTCACAAGAATTCTGTAGGAATTCTGTAGACCAGGGACTCATATCCACATTTTTCAGATGAGAAAACCTAAGCTCAAAAAGGTGAAAGGACCTGACTGGGTCACGTAGCTAGTAAGGGATAACATTAGAAATTCTGTATTGCTCTTTTCACCAAACCTTGATGTAACTCTCATTTAATACCTCCTGATGATCTGACAATCATCTTTTCAGATAATTAGGGGAGATACTATGATGAGTATCATAATTAGATCAACATTATAATTATGATGTAGTTGCAGGTTGGGTAGTAGTTTGTTGAGGGAGCCACTTCTGGATTCCAAAGAAAAAGAAGTGGTGTCTGATTTGAATTCTCTGGATACAGTATGTTCCTAGATCCCAAGGACAAACAAATGAAGTAAACTTTTAAGAGTGGGGAATGTGGAGAGTAAGAGCACTGAATGGTAGAGTCCAAGACCAGATAGGAGTGGATCCACACCTAACTAGCCATGTGGCCTTGGGCTCAAATCACTAGGGATGGACGATTAGGCCAAATACTAGTAAGTGCCAAAATTCATCATACACTGCTCTTAAAAACCTGTTTCCCAAATCTGGAATCTGGAAAGATTCAGGAAAGACAAAGGAAATAGTGCATGTAAAGTGGTTCTGTAGATGACATCTGGAAATTTTCCCAAGGTTCCATAACTGTAGAATTGGGATATTTGGTTCCAGAACGCTCACTGGCCTCAACATTCTCACTGACTTCACCGACTGCAAGACCTTTAAAAGTCCCTTCCGTATCTCAAATTCTGAGTCAAGTCTAGATATTATAGAAGTTCGGTAACAAACCAAACTCTCCCAGTTGACCTCATTCTCCTGTGATGTGGGTCTTTGAGGATAATTTAAAATATAAGCTAGCAAATTGTGATATATCCTAAAGACCACTATGGTTTTACTGTATTAGTTTGTTGTTGCTGTCATTGTTATTGTTATTGTTATTCTTTTTGGTTTTAGGTTTCTCTGTTTTTGGTACTTGCTTTAAATTTTATTTATTGTACCAAATCATGTATTTTGAAAGACTACGCGTGTCTTGTCTCTTTTTCTGATACTCAAATAAAACATCATCTGGCAATAAGAATAACATCTTTTTTCAAAGAAGTCTAGACTGACAAATCAGAGTTTCAATCCACTTTTTAGTTATCTTAGGAAGCAACTGAATATAGTCTCCGGTATGGAGCAAAATTAAACACTGTATGGTTTTTACCAAATTTAGGAAATTTGTGGTCTCTTTTTCTTCAAAGATTTTTTTCTACCTCATTTTCTCTTTCCTTTGAGGATTTTAATTACATTCATGTTAGGACTTTGGAAATTATTCCATTAAGACTTTGTTCGTTTTACCCCTCAATCTTTTTTCTCTTTGCTCTTCAAATTGGATAATCTCTATTAATCTGTTTCTGTTGATCTCTTTCTTATATCATCTCCAATCCACTGCTAACCCATCAGTGAATTTATTATTTCAGAAACTTCACTTATTTATTTATTTATTTATTTATTTATTTATTTATTTATTTTTAATTTTTTGTTTATTGCGGTAACGTTGGTTTATAACATTGTAAAAATTTCAGGTGAACAAGACAGGAAACAACATGTGTTGGAGAGGATGTGGAGAGAAGGGAACTCTCATACACTGCTGGTGGGAGTGCAAACTGGTGCAGCCACTATGGAAAACAGTATGGAGATTCCTCACTTATTTATTTTTTAAAAATTTCCATTAGGTTCTTCTTTATAGTTTCTTTTCTCAATTGAGAGTTTCTGTATGTTCCTAATAAAATTTCCTGTATGTTTATTCATTATGACTATACTTTCTTTTATATTTTTGAGCATGGTTTTAATAACTACTTTAAAATACTTGTCTGGTATTTTCAATATCTGAGTCATTTCAAAGTTAGTCTCCATTAATTTCTGTTCTTTTGAATATGGATCATGTTTGCCTGTTTCTTTCTATGTGTAGTAATCCTGGACTGCATCCTGGACCCTATGAATAATATATTGTAGAGATCATGAATTGTATTATGTTCCTCCAAATAGTGTTGATTTGTTTGTTTTTTGTCTTAGTAGTCAGTTAACTCGACTGAACTCAAAGCCAAAATTCTGTCTTCTCTGTGGTAAGCAGTGGCTGAAATCTCTATTCCATTATTTTAGTTTTAAATAAGCTGCTTGGAGTCTACTCCACGCATGCATGCTTCAAGAGTCAGCCACAGATTTGGGCAGACTTTATTTGCAGAATTTGGAGCTTTCCTCTATGGCTCTCTCCTTTCCAAGATTTCTCCCTTCACTTTCCAGTTGCTTTGGTAAAACCAAACTCTGTGTTCTGATTCTTCAGTGATAAGATGGCTAGTTCCTATCTGAGTTCCAGCAACCTTGCGGGTCACTGACTGGGGCCTGACCTTAGCTGAGAAAAACAGGAAACTCACCTCCTGCAGTTTACTTTTTCCAAGCATGGACTCTCTTCCAGTTTCTGCTTTTAGTCACTCACCAGGGACTTCAGATTGTTCCTATTTTATAGTTTGTTATTGTTATCTGAGGATGAATTGATCTACATAAGCTCCTCCTCCATTACAAGAAGTGAAATAACAAAATCTCTTATTTTAAGTTGCTTCTTTGAAGCATGTGAAGAACCTGATATTAATCAGTCACTTCTTTGGAATTCGTATGCTGAAAGGATATTATTACGTTCTAAAGCAAACTAAATAGAGGTCCTGAATAGAAGTTTACAAGGATCCTCAGTTTGTAGAGACCTCTCTCTGCCAAAATAATAATAATAATAATAATGATAACAATAATAATAATAATAAATATCTTTCATAGCTTTTCTGTTTTCCAAATCTGAGAGAGTTGATAAATTCATTAGATCATGAAAGCATATGTCTCCACAATTCTGTCAGTCATTGGGTAGATATTTGAGTCCTATAAATCAGATCAACATTTGGTGGATTTCCTAGATGACATTGCACTTAGGTGACTTGCACTTCTTGGCTGAGTCAAATTTGAGCTTCAAGAAAAGTCTCCAGTTAATGAAACTACATTATTTATTATTATTACACATCTCAGAAAGCTTTTAATAAAACTGGTCTCCATAACCCAGGGTAGAAGGCTATCGTGAGACAGTTTAGCAGAAAAAAAGAAATACATGTTCTGGGTTAGCTGCAGACCAGTTTCGACATGATCAGCTTCTGCTCGTGCTTCAGGTGATTTCACTGGTACTCTGCTAAAAGATTTCAGGATAAAGTAATTTTGCAAGAGAAAGGACCATCTTGAGACAGGGTTTTGAAGTTTTTATTATTCATAATACTGAAAAGTCTGGAGTAACGTATTTTAAGAGTCAGAGTAAGATGCTCAAGACAGAGGAATACAGCTGTCCTCAGAAATAGGTGACCACAACTAGAAGGTATGACCAGGTTATCTCCTGGTTTCACTTGCAGTTTTCAATAAGCAATAATGTTACATTAGACAATAGCTGCTCACAAGTCACTTTATAAAATCTATTTTGGCTGGCAAAGAGTCTTCAAGAATTGTCATTAACCTACGTTCAATTTTGCTGGACAATAAGTAATTTGGTTTCTTTATAAAGAAGTTTCTACTCATCAATGCAAGGAAGAATGCAGAATCGCAATGGAAAGGAATTTATACCTCTAGGAATCACTACTCCAGAAATTGACAAGATTTAAACCACTGAACTTGTCAGATTACATATAGTGTTCTCATTTAACCATTACACCATTTCACATAAAAGCTGGATGTGCAGTATTTAGAACTGAAGACTTTATAGATCCTGGAGTCAAGTCCTTGTTATTTCTAGACCTGAAAACTGAGGTCCAAAGCAGAGAAAAGCTTCAACATCTAACTAACAAGGAGTCCTCAAACCATAGCATGGAGCCTGTTGTCTTGTTGTCTTTCATATCCCTGTATGGAGATAGGATGAAAATTTCCAGGGTCTTAGTCATCATACTTAGTCATACTTAGTCATCATTCATAGATTGCTTTTAATCCATGAAAACACACACACACACACTGCATAGCTGAGACTTGGGTCCCAAATCCCTATTTTCTATCCTAGGGAACCAAGTCAAATAATAGGTAAGCCTCAAAACCTACGTTTACCCCATCATCCGACGCACAGACTCAAAGCCAATCCCACAGCCTGCTCCTTGTCCTCTCTCCTTGAAACTACACCCTGGGCTTGGCCTCTGGATCTTATCTTTCCTGCTGTGAGAAAAAGAAGGGTGCAAAAAGACAAACCAGTGATGGAAAACACACCCTTCCTCCCAAGGGTAGAGATCAGCTGGCCTAACCTCCCACACCATTTTCCCTTTACCCAGGTCCCACTTCAATTTGGTTTCCAAGTGTAAAGGCACTTCTTAAGATAAAGACCCACTCAGGATGGTGGGATCATATCAATCACAGGGGGAAAAGGAAGAAGAGAAGAGCCATGAAGAGATACCATCATTATTGTCCAGAAATAGTGTCCTATGAGACCAAATGACCAATGACCAAAGACCTGTAGGGATCATACATCTCAGGGAGGCCTGTGCCATATGCCCGTGATTATGGATCAGGTAATTCTCTGATGCCCAGATGGTGAATAAGCCTCATCCATGGGGAGAAAGGAAGATGAAGGGAGAGGGCAAAACTGTAAATCCACCAAGTGTTCACCCAAGACAGACTGAGTTTAATCTGGAGTCCTCCAGCTCAATTTGAATTGACAGCGTTGTTTTCCTCCATTCATAGAAATTTAGGGCTTATGAGCTCAATAACAGAGAACAAGACTTTTCATTTTTGAACACTCATGTTTCTAAAAGTAAAATGAATCCTCTTACATAATCAATACTTGTTGAGTGCCCATTCCCTGTTGGGTGCTCTGCTATGTGTTTAAAATTACCTCATAAAACAAACTTTTCTGGAATAGATACTGAAAAGAAAAAGTGCAGGTCATGGAGAATGCATATTTCTCATTTTAATAGATATTACCAAAAAGCCCATGAAAATAGCCACACTGACTTATGTTCCAACCGGCGTTGTATGAGAATACACGTTTCCCCATAGTTTATCAGGATATATTATCAAGCTTAAATTGATTTTTAATCATATTCAATTTTTATAAAAATTAAATCTCATTGTTTTAATTTCTCTTAACACTACTGAAGCTGAGCAAAATTTAATGTGTTTAATTAAACAATTGGATTTCTTCTGTGAATTATACATTCATATTTTTTGTCCCTGTATTATTGGTTGCTTGTATTTGACTTATTAATTAGTGTAACTCTTTGTTTATTATAGTTATTAATTCCTTAACTGTCACATGTGTTGCAAATATTTTCTTCTAATTATCATTTGTCATTTAACTTTTTAAAGCTCTTTTTTAACAGAAGAGATATTAGTTTTTATGAGTTTATATCTATAAATCTTTTGTGTTTTGTTTTAAAGACCTTCCCCACCTCAATTCCAAAAAAAATCCGTTAATGATTTATAATTTTGTGTTTTACACTTAGGACTTTACATCTGAAATTTACCTAAGTATGGTAAATTTTGTCTTTTTTCCCTCAAATTTATAGCCAAATGTCCCAACATAATTTGTTGAATATTTCTTCTTTATCTGCTGATTTGAAGTGCCACTGTCCTCATATACCAAATTTCCATATAGACATGTGGCTGTGCCCCTATCTGATGTTCTTTTCCATCGATCTATTAACATAGTTTCATGACACCATCTATGTTCAATCACTAGAGTGAAATATATATGTATATATTTTTTCTTTTTTTGGTGAGGAAGATTGGCCCTGAGCTAACATTTGTTGCCAATCTTCCTCTTTTTACTTGAGGAAAATGGTCCCTGAGCTAACATCTGTGCCAATATTCCTCTACTTTGTATGTGGGATGCTGCCACAGTATGACTTGATGAGTGATGTGTAGGTCCACGCTCAGGATCCAAACCCACAAACTCCAGGCCACCAAAATGGAGTGTGCGAACTTAACTGCCACACCACCAGGCCAGCCCCAAGCATAAAATATATATACATATTTTTAAAAAATATATATGTGCAACTATATATTTAGTTCATCTTGTTCTCTTTTAAAATTATCATAGCTATTCTTACCCATTTACTTTCCCAGATGACTTTTTAAAATTAGCTCATCACCCTGGCTGGTGGCATTGGCTGGCTTGAGAGCCCCTCCAAAGTGACTCCTGCCACACCACAGCCAGTGGGCAGCCTCAGGTGGGACTGTGTCCCTCCAAATCAGCTCCTGCCCTGGGAGGCCAGCTTTACACAATAAAGCACCTGCAACAGTCACAGCCAGGTTTCACAGCCAACAGCACCAGAGGCTTGCCCTACCCACCAGGGTGCCCACAACTGTCATGGCTAGGCCTTGCAGCCAGCTGCACCAGGGGAAGCCCTACACACCTGTGATCCCTCAGCTATCACAGCCCAGTCACAATAGGAGAGTTCATGCAGCCCACATAGGGGACATCCCTGGGGAACCTGGCTCTGCCAACCAAGGGGCCTGGGCTACTGGGCCCCAGAGGACACATTCTACATAAGACCACTCCTTCAAGCCTGGGAGATGTACCTGATCCACCTAATACATAGAAACAAACACAGAGCGTTAGGCAAAATTTGAGGAGACAAAGGAATATGTTCCAAATGAAAAAACAAGGCAAAACCTTAGAAAAAGAACTAAATGAAATAGACATAATCAATCTACCAAACAAAGAGTTTGAAGTACTGATCATGAAGATACTCACTGAACTTGGGAGAAGAATGGAGGAACACAGTGAGAACTTCAACAAAGAGATAGAAAATATAAAAAAGAACCACTCAGAGCTGAAGAATACAATAACTGAAATGAAAAATACACTAGAGAGAATCAATAGCAGATTAGATGCAGAAGAGTGGACAAGCAATCTGCAAGACAGAGTAGTGGAAATCACCCAATAAGAACAGCAAAAAGAAAAAAGAATAAATAAAAATGAGGATAGTTTAAGGCACCTCTGGGACAGCAACAACTGTACTAACATTTGTATTACAGAGGTACAAGAAGGAGAAGAGAGAGAAAGGGGCAGAAAATCTATTTGAAGAAATAATGACTGAAAACTTCTATAACTTGGCAAAGGAAACAGACATCCAAGTTCAGGAAGCACAGGGAGTCCTAAGTAAGATGAACTCAAAGAGACCCACAATAAGACACATTATAATAAAAATGTCAAAAGTTAAAGATAAGAGAATCTTAAAAGCAGCAAGAGAAAAACAACTAGCTGTGTACAAAGGAGCTCCCATAAGACTATGAGCTGTCTTTTCAGCAGACACTTTACAGGCCCGAAGGGAGTGGCATGACATATTCAAAATGTTGAAAGGAAAAAACTTACAACCAAGAATACTCTACACAGTAAGTTATTACTCAGAATTGAAGGAGAGAGAAAGAATTTCCCAGACAAGCAAAAGCTAAAGGAGTTCATCACCACCAAACTGACCTCACAATAAACGTTAAAGGGACTTCTTTAAACAGAAAAGAAAAAGCATAACTGGAAATACAAAAATTATGAAAGAAAAAATAGTACTGGTAAAGCCAAACATAGTAAAGTAGTGGATCAACTACCTATATATCTAGTAAAATGTTAAAAGACAAAAGTAGTAAAATCATCTATATCTGCAATCAGTAGTTAAGGGATATACAAAATAAAAATATGACATCAAAAACATAAAATGTGGGGAGGGGGAGTAAAAACGTAGTGCTTTTAGAACATGCTCAAACTTAAGCAACCATCAACTTAAAATAGACTGCTGTATACATAAGTTTTTATATAAGAACCTCATGGTAACCACAAACCAAAAACCAATAATAGTTACAGAAAAAATAAAGAGAAAGGAATACAAACATAACACTAAAGAAAGTCACCAAGTCACAAGGGAAGAAAATAAGAAAAAAAAAAAAAAGAAAGAGAGAAGAACTACAAAAACCAGAAAACAATTAACAAAATGGCAACTAGTATATACCTATCAATAATTACTTTAAAAGTAAATGGACTAAATGCTCCAATCAAATGACATAGGGTGGTTGAATGGATAAAAACAAGACCCCTATATATGTTGCCTACAAGAGACGCATTTCAGATCTAAAGACACACACAGACTGAAAGTAGGGGATGGGAAAAAAATATTCCATATAAATGGAAACAAAAAGAAAGGTGGGGTAGCAATACTTATATCAGACAAAATAGACTTTAAAACAAAGACTGTAACAAGAGACAAAGAAGGACATTACATAATGATAAAGGGATCAATCCAACAAGAGGATATATAACACTTGTAAATATATATGCACCCAACATAGGAGCACCTAAATACAAAAGCAAATATTAACAAACATAAAGGGAGAAATTGACAGTAATACAATAATACTAGGGACTTTAAAACTCCACTTACATCAACGGATAGGTCATCCAGACAGAACATTGATTAAAAAAACATTGCCCTTAAATGACACATTAGACCATGTGGACTAATAGATATATACAGAACATTCCATCCCAAAACAGCAGAATACACATTCTTTTCAAGAGCTTTTGAAACATTCTCCAGGATAGATCACATATTAGGTCCCCAAAAGTCTCAATAAATTTAAGAAGAATCATATCAAGCATCATTTCTGATCACAATGTTATGAGACTAGAAATCAACTACTTCCAGACAACTGGAAAAAACACAAACACATGCAGTCTAAACAACATGATACTAAACAACCAATGGGTCATTGAAGAAATCAAAAAATACCTTGGAACAAATGAAAAGGGAAACACATTTCAAAATCTGTGGGATGCAGTAAAAACAGTTCTAAGAGGGAAGTTTATAGTATTACAGGCCTACCTCAGGAAACAAGAAAAATCTCAAATAAATAATCTAACTTTACACCTAAAGGAATCAGAAAAAGGAGAACAAGCAAAACCCAAAGTTAGTAGAAGAAGGAAATAATAAAAATCAGAGCAGAAATAAATAAAATAGACACTAAAAAAACAATAAAAATGATTAATGAAATTAAGAGCTAGTTCTTTGAAAAGATAAGCAAAATTGATCAACTTTTAGCCAGATTCATCAAGAAAAAAAGAGAGAGAGCCCACATAAATAAAATCAGAAATGAAAGAGGAGAAGTTATAACTGACACCACAGAAATACAAAGGATCATAAGAGATTACTATGAACAATTATATGCCAACAAATTGGAAAACCAAAAGAAATGGATAAATTTCTAGAAAAATACAATCTTCCAGGACTGAATCAGAAAGAAATATAAAATCTGAACAGACTGATTACTAATAATAAAATTGAATCGGTAATCAAAAAAATTCCCAACAAACGAAAGTCCAGGGCCAGATGGCTTCACAGGTGAATTCTACCAAACATTTAAGAAGAGTTAATACTATCCTTCTCAAACTATTCCAAAAAAATTGAAGAAGGAATGCTGCCAAACTCATTCTATGAAGCCAGCATTACTCTCATACCAAAACCAGACAAAGACATTACAAAAAAAGAAAATTACAGGCCAATATTGCTGAATAACATAGATGGAAAAACCCTCAGCAAAACATTAGTAAACCAAATTCAACAATACATTAAAAGGATCATGACCATGATCAAATGGGATTTGTCCCAGGGATGCAAAGATGGTTCAATACCTGCAGATCAATCAATGTGATACACCATATTAACAAAATGAAGAATAATAATTATATGGTCAACTTAATAAATGCAGAAAAAGCTTTTTTTTTTGAGGAAGACTAGCCCTGAGCTAACATCTGTTGTCAATCCTCCTTTTTTTTGCTGAGGAAGATTGGCCCTGGACTAACATCAGTGCCCATCTTCCCCTACTTTATGTGGGATGCTGCCACAGCATGGCTTGATAAGCAATGTGTTGGTCCATGCCTGGGATCTGAACTTGTGAACTTCAGGCCGCTGAAGCAGAGCATGCAAACTTCACCACTACACCACCAGGCCAGCCCTCAGAAAAAGCTTTTGACAAAATTCAACATCCATTTATGATAAAAACTCTCAGCAAAGTGGGTATAGAGGGACTATGCCTCAACATAATAAAGGTCATATACTACATAACCAAGGCTAACATCATACTCAATGGTGAAAAGCTGAAAACATTTCCTCTAAGATCAGGAACAAGACAAGAATGCTCACTGTCACCACTTTTATTCAATATAGTATTGGAAGTCCTAGCCCCAGCAATCAGACAAGAAAAAGAAATAAAAGCCATCCAAATTAGAAACAATGAAGTAAAACTGTCACTGTTTGCAAGTACATAATACTATATACAGAAAACTCTGAAGACTCCACAAAACACTATTAGAACTAATAAATGAATTCAATAAAGTTATAGGATATGAAATCAATATACAGAACTCTGTTGTGTTTCTTTACACTAATAACAATCTATCGGAAAGAGAAATTAAGAAAATAATCCCAGTTACAGTTGCATCAAAAAGAATAAAATACCTAGGAATAAATTTAACCAAGGAGGTAAAAGACCTGTACTCTGAAAACTATAAGACACTGACAAAAGAAATTGAAGATGACACAAATAAATGGAAAGATATACCGTGCTCATGAATTGGAATAATTAATATTGTTAAAATGTCCATACTACCCAGGGCAATCTACAGATTCAATGCAATCCCTATCAAAACACCAATGACGTTTTTCACAGACCTAGAACAAATAATCCTAAAATTTGTATGGAGCCACAAAAGACCCCGAATACTCAAAGAAATCTCAAGAAAGAAGAATAAAGCTGGAGGTATCACGTTCCCCGATTTCAAACTATACTATAGAGCTATAGTAATCAAAACTGTATGGTACTGGCACAAAATTGCCCAGGAACAAAATAGAGAGCCCAGAAATACACTCACACTTATATGTTCAATTAATCTACAACAAAGGAGGCAAGAATATACAATGGGGAAAAGACAGTCTCTTCAATAAATGGTGTTGAGAAAACTGGACAGCTATGTGCAAAAGAATGAAACCGGGCCACTTTCTTATACTATATACAAAAATAAACTCAAAATGGATTAAAGGCTTAAATGTGAGACCTGAAACCATAAAAATTCTAGAGGAAATCGTAGGCAGTAAACTCTTTGACATTGGTCTTAGCAAGATTTTTTTGGATCTGTCTCCCCAGGCAAGGGCAACAAAAGCAAAAATAAACAAACAGGACTACATCAAATTGAAAAGCTTTTGCACAGTGAAGGAAACCATCAACAAAATGAAAAGGCAATCTACCAAATGGGACAAGATATTTGCAAATGATATATCTGATAAGGGGTTAGTATTAAAAATATATAAATAATTCATAGAACTCAATATCAAAAAAGAACAAACAATTCAATTAAAAAATGGGCAGAGGACTTGAATAGACATTTTTCCAGAGAAGACATACAGATGACCAACAGGCACATGAAAAGATGATCAACATCACTATCATCAGGGAAATGCAAATCAAAACCACAATGAGAGATCACCTCATATCTGTCAGAATGGCTATTATCAAAAAGACAACAAATAACAAATGTTGGTAAGGATGTCAAGAAAAGGAAACCCTCATGCACTGTTGGGTGAAAATGTAAATTGGTGCAGCTGCTATGGAAAACAGTATAGAGTTTCCTCAAAAAATTAAATATAGAATTACCACATGATCCAGCAAATCCACGTCTGGGGATTTACCCAAAGAAAACAAAAACAACAATTTGAAAAGATATATGCACTCCTATGTTCATTGCAGCATTATTTACAATAGTCAAGACATGGAAGCAACCTAAGTGTCCATTGATAGATGAATGGATAAAGAAGATGTAGTATATATATATACAATGGAATACTACTTAGCCATAAAAAAGAATGAAATCTTGCCATTTGCAACAACGTGGATGGACCTAGAGGGTAATATGTTAAATGAAATAAGTCTGACTGAGAAAGACGAATACCATATGATTTCACTTATATGTGGAATCTAAAACACAAAACAAACGAACTAATGAAACAAAACAGAAACAGACTCATAGATACAAAGAACAAACTGATGGTTGCCAGAGGGGAGGAACTCAGGGGGTTGGGTGAAATAGGTGAAGGGGATTAAGTGGTACAAACTTTCAGTTATAAAATAAATAAGTCACAAGGATGTAATGTACAGCCTAGGAAATACAGTCAATAATATTGTAATAACTTCGTATGGTGACAGAGGGTTACTAGACTTATCATGGTGATAACTTTGTAATGTATATAAATGTCGAATCATTATGTTGTACACCTGAAACTAACATAATATTGTATGTAAATTATGCTTCAATTTAAAAAAATAAGTTTTATTATTATAATGTGACTTGAATGCACACAGGTATGCAGTCTTTCATCAAATAGAGGCTGTAAAATTGAATATTGTCAATAAATTTTCTATATCAAAAAAATAAATCATCTCACCACTTTGCATGAAATATTCTTTTGTTATGTTAATTGAAACTGTATTATTGTATATTGATTTTGGAATGACTGTCTTTGAAATATTGAGTCTTCCCTAAACAAACATGATCTATGCTTCCATTTGTTCAGATTTTCTTTTTATTTACTTCACTAAGCTTTATACATTTTTGATAAAGATTTCTTATCAGGTTTATTTCTTGGGATTTCATAGTTTTTATTCTTACAATAAATTACCCTTTCTCCTTACATGGTCAGTTGGTTATTAGATGTAAAAATATGCTGATTTTTTATATTGTTCTTGTAAGGACCACTTTGCTAATTCTCTCATTAGTTAAAATCATTTTTCAGTTGGTTTTGTTATATTTTTAGATTTTCAAAATACACTGGCTTACCAATTGCAAAAAAAAAAAACACCAAAATTCTACATCTTTTTTCCAATATTTAAAACTCATATTTTTCTTATTTTATTGCATTGTCCAGAACTTCCAGAACAATGTTGAATAGTAACAATAATGGTGAGAATCCTTTTCTTATTAGAATAGAGTTCAAAAAGCAGAAATACAGCATCAATAGACATGAAAATTTTAAAGACTGTTTTTTCATGTTACTAAATTGTCATCTAAAAACACTTGTAGCAAGTCTTTGATCAGCATTGTACAAGAGTATCTGTCTAATTAATCCTTAGGCTACATTTTGCTTCTAGTAATTGTAAGAAATGCATCTGATCATTTAAAAACTGTTTCTGATGTTAAAAAGACTATAAAGATATAAAGTACACATTGGGCAACTTAGCATATCTTCTCAAAGATACTGATCAAGAGTCTATATTGATTTTGCAAGATCATTGCAGGGAAATACATTTTCTTGTTGTGGTAGGTCATACGTCCCCTAAATGGCTTAAAACTGATCTCTTTCTAACACAGAGTGTGCTTTAACAATCACTATTCTCGTCCAGTTATTGCTGCACATGGATTACACCACCTGTAGTTTCTGACAACGCATTCTTTGCATTTGCATCAGTTAGGATTGTGAAATTTGTCAATTTTGTATTTACTGAAATTTTACACTTCTCATCATCTTCAAATAACTGGCTAGGCTAAAAATCGCTTCAGACTGCTAAAGGCTCTGTGCAGTGCAATGCTGGAGGAGGTCTGCTAAATAGACTTTTGGATATATTTCATCTTTTCACCTCATGCTCTACCACAGGAGTCAGACCTGCTGGGTTATACATGGAGTAATAGTTCTCATATGCTTTTATCTCTACCCTGACTTAGAGGAAGACTTTAAAAACAAAAATACCTTCTGGGCACCGCTTTCCGCATGGGCTCTGCCCACTTTAATCACAAAAGTTACTCATTTTTTTAGGAATCAAGAGCTGGATTAATATGGGTTCTTTCACCCTCATGGGGTTTGTGTCTTAAAAAATTCAGAGCTGACAGACACAGAATTTTAAAAGCAATAAATCATTCCTGGACATAGTACTGACCTCAGGTGTTTCTACACTCGCTTGAACTCCAGGAAAACTCCCATCAAGAACCTCCTTGATAGTTAAAACACCTAGTAAGCTAAAGAAGTGGGTGCAGTCCATATTAGTAATTTTGATTCTTTGGATTATTGGAGCATGCTCTCCTAATTGCTTCTCTTCTATTTCTACACATTTATGTTGCATTCACTTAGTATACAGTTAGTTCAGAGTGGTTTTTGTAAAAAATAAAGAGCTATTTAGTGAGGGTCTGTTGGCCCCTTGCTTGTTCTATTACCTTCAGCACAGCATTAAAAAGGGCTTTTTAATATAGTAGTCAAGGTCTTTAAATGATTGCTCAACCAGCTCATCAAAATGATCTAACAGAGCCTCACAGAGCAAAGCATCCTTGCATGTTCCTTTTTTTATTATCTATTGGTCATCAGACAAGAAACAGCTGCACAGACAAGCCCCCAACAGCAGCAGTTCTAAATGATAAAAGTGGAAAAATAGTAACTTTATAGTGGAGAAATCTGGCAGACACCTCCTTAATCAAGGGATCAAAGTAATGGAACAAATCAACATTCTATGCCTCCTGATATGAAGCACTGAGAACACAACATCGCTTTTGAGGAATTGCTGCCAAAAATGTACAACCTGAATCTCATTGTGAGGAAACATCAAATGAACTCAAATTGAAGGACGTTCTACAAAATATCAGGCCCATTCTTCAAAAATGTCAAGGTCGTAAAAGTCAAGCAAAGACTGAGAAACAACTGTTCCAGATTAAAGGAAATTAAAAAGACAGACAGCTGAATGCAACACATGATTCAGGATTTTCTTTTGTTGTAAAGCATATTATCAGGACAATTGGCAAAATCAGAATAAGGTCTGTAGATTAGATGACAAAATTGTATCAATGTTAATTTCCTGATTTTAGTATTTGTATTGTGGTTTTATAAAAGAATGTCTTTGTTTTACCAGTGCAGTATTACCTGACCACTCCTAGCTACAAGGGAAAATGGAAAATTCAGTCTATATGTCAAGTATCAGTGGGCTGATTGAGAATCAAGCTTCTACTATACAAGAAGAGGGAGGGATTAGATACTACAATAAAACTAGTGGTCTTAGTCATGAAGAATGTGTCCTTGGGAAAGTTGATTGTAAAAAGACAAGGTCACATAAGAGGAAGACTCATTTTAAGGCTATAACGAGTGATCTCATGGATGGAAATGAAACTACACTCTGGTCTCGTACTGACTGGAATGGAAACATTCCCTTTACCGGGCCTCCTCACTATGGTGTTCTCTCAGGGGCCACACGATCTCCTCCACTCTTTCCTTTGTCTGGCTCTCACCAGTTTCCTCTCCTATCTGCCCCACATATGAATCCAAATGACATCCCCAATTTCCAAGCCTGTATCATATGGCAGGTTCTGCTTTTACTATCAGCTTCAGTGCTCCTTATAACTCAATTCACATCTGATTGGCCCCACTCATACTTTCGTGAAAGGACTAAAGTTGACCAGTTGACCAGGATATACATAGACGGGCTT